CTGCCCAAGGGTTCCCCGTTCCCTCGCACAGGTGAGGGGCTCGCCCTGTCCCGGCGACGCTCGATCCGACGCTCGATGACCCGTGCCCTCCTCGTTCTCTTCCCCAGAACCGGTGGCCACAACCAAGCCCAAATTCCCCATGACCGAGAACTCGCGCACGTACGCGGTACACCTCGACCAGCCGTTGACCCTCATGTGCCCGGCCCAGGCGTTCCCGGTTCCAGCGTTCAGGTACAGAAACGAAGTGAACGAGTTCCGTGATCGAACCGGCTCCGTCTAAGAGATTATCCCTTATCGTCGTCCCTCTCATCCGTGTCATCATCTATCAGAGCCTGTAGGGAGCAGCCGGCCGAAATTCCCCTCGTTGGCGGACTCGCAAACGTTCAGAGTGGCGTTGGGCGGCGCGATGACGTTGCTGTGCCCGGCTCAGGCGTTCCCGGTTCCAGCCTTCAGGTAACGTCGAGAGGAGATCGAATCTGTATCGCGTCGAGAACAGATATATCGCGGATGAAGAGATGTGCCTGGTCGCGTTCGTTTCTCCAGAGCCTGTCGCGAGCACGCGGCCGAAATTCCCCTCGTTGGCGGACCTGCAAGCGTTCAAAATGGCGTTGGGCGGCGCGATGACGTTGCTGTGCCCGGCCCAAGGGTTCCCCGTTCCCTCGTACAGGTAAACAATATTTCCACCATTCCCTCGAGCTCAACTCCTTCCCTGTTCTCCGTCAGAGCCGGCGTCCAGCGCTCGTCCGCAATTATCCGGGCCGAGCGATCTTCAACGGTTCAGCGCCTCCTCGCGAAAAAGCGTCACCCTTCTGTGCCCCGCCCAAGGATTTCCTGTGCCCGTCTATAGGTAGGAGTGAAAAGAGCGCGCGATCTTGGGAGGGGAATGAGAGAAGACGCAAAGGAGTGTCCCTATTCCAGCATATATAGGGATACACCTAGTAGCGTCTCGCGTTCTGTTTTTAGAACCGGCGTCGAGCAGCAGGCCACAGTTCCCATCCGTGAACGACGTCGGATTACGCGTGACGAAAGCCACGGGATTCTCGTTGCTTTGTCCCGCACAGGCGTTCCCAGTCGCCACGTTTAGGTAGGTCGATCGTGCCTCCAATAGAAGGAGCTCGCTTCTTCTCCTCGTTCCAACTCCCCTGTCCCAGTATATATATATATATATATCTCGTGAAAATATATATATATAGTCGTGAAAACTCGTTCTCTTCTCCTAGTGGCCCTGCTTTTTCTAGAAGGTACTTTTTCTAGAACCGGTCGGGTTCGCGAAGCCAAAGTTCTCCACGATCGACAAGAGCCGAACGTTCGAGGCTTGGCAGGGTGACGGCGTCACGCTGCAGTGTCCCGCCCAGGCGTATCCCGTCCCAATCTTCAAGTAAGTCGGACGAGCAAGCGCGAGACCCCCCCTCCCGTTATTCTCTCTTCTCTTCGCAGAACCTCTGTCGAGCTCGAAACCAAAATTAACCGCTCTGGACGTGAAATCGACGAGCCCGAGCACGGCCACGGGCACCGTTACCACTCTCTTGTGCCCCGTCCAAGGATTCCCCGTGCCCGCGTTCAGGTAAATCCTCGTTCGATCTCTTTTTCCCATTTCGACATCGCGCGTGCGCGCGTGGATCCTGGAAACCGATTTCGAGACCGAGCTTTCAACGTTTCCTCTCTCGTAGAACCGGTGGCCGCCACGAAGCCCAAATTCCCGATGACGGAGAATTCGCGCACCCTCACCACTTACACGGTGTCGCGCGATCAAGCTTTGACTTTACCCTGTCCAGCCCAGGCGTTCCCCGTTCCAGCCTTCAGGTACGGAGAAAGAGAGAATGGGGTGAATTTAATCGATCGAGGAGGAGAGTTGTGTTCGAAAGGGATTATTACCCAGCGTTGCAACGAATCGGCATACATACATCCGCCCGGATATATATCTCTTTTGGTCAGAACCTGTGTCCAGCTCGAAGCCAAAGTTCACGAACGCGGACATAAAGGTGGTGAGGCCGACGGCTAGCTCCGCTTCGGTGTCGATGACTTGCCCCGCCCAAGGGTTCCCTGTCCCCGTCACACGGTAAAGTAAAATAAGAGAAAGAGGCCATAATTCTCTCCCTCCCCCTCCTCTCAGAGCCTACCTCTAGCTCGAAGCCGAAACTGCCCTACAATCGTAAGGTCGAGTTTATGGAAGGGAGGAACGGCGATGCGTCCTGTCTGACGTGCCCGGTGCAAGGTTACCCCGTTCCACTTTCGAGGTGAGAACACGATATTTGACACACGGTCGATGCGAATATTTAAACCGCGGTCGATGCAATTTCCCAATCGGGCAAGCGGGGGGTGTCGAATAACGATTGCCTTTCGCTCCTCCGTTAATTCTAACTTCGCTCTGTCGTTCGATATCCATATACACATACACACACACACATATATATATATATAAAAATGTAATCGCCATACCGTCACCGATGAACGCGTATCTTCCCCAGAACCTGTTGGATTCAAGTCGCCCATATTCTCCACGGACAATAGCCTTAGTAAATACGCGAGGCGCGAGGGGACGAGCGTGGTGCTCGCGTGCAGCGCTCAGGGATTCCCCGTGCCTAAGACCAGGTAACCTCGCGCGTCATTCATTCGTTTGTTTCTCCTCCTCGATCGACATCGGTTGAGAAGAGGTCCCTCAATTTTCGTGGAACACGTTGTTCTCGTCTCTTCTTCTCCCTCTGGTAGAACCGATCGGGTCCAAGTCGCCGATCTTCTCCAACGATCTCAGTTCAACCGCGTACGCGAGACGGAAGGGGACGAGCGTGGTGCTCGCGTGCAGCGCTCAGGGATTCCCCGTGCCTAAGACCAGGTAACCTCGCGGCGAGAACAATTTCCATTTTTCTCTGTTATTTCTTCCTTTTTCCCTATATTTTTTCTTTCTTTCTTTCTTTTCTTTTTTCCTTTCGCTTCGTAGAACCGGTCGGATTCAAGTCGCCCATCTTCTCCAACGATCTCACGCTTAGCGCGTACGCGAGGCGCGAGGGGACGAGCGTGGTGCTCGCGTGCAGCGCTCAGGGATTCCCCGTCCCTAAGACCAGGTAAAAATCCGTCGAAACCTTTCGAAAGGTGGTTCGAACGAGATATCCGGGGGTTGCTTAAGTGGACGGAAGAATTAGTTTTCTTTCCTATTGTGAGAATTTTTATTTAAAAGTATTAAAAGGTGTTGTAATGGCTTTGCGCTCCTGACGTGAACTCTTCGGTTCTTCGCTTGGATTCGACGATATTTATTTCACTTGATCGATTTGGAGTAATCTTGTGAAATGTAGAATATGATATATTATGGTTTCATGGATTTGTTTATGTCAAATTAGAGCGCGGATCGAAATATATTTTCGCCGTTGGTCCGAGTTTCACGGGAATAGAAATATTATTTTCAAAGTTTTTCGTAGTTTTGTAGAGGCGTGATTTCTTCGTTATTGAATAACGAAATTATTTTTATTCGTTAAGAGATCGATGGTGGAGAGAAGGAAAAGAGAGACGTGTAGTGTAAGAAAAGTAGGAATAATAGATTTTATATAAAAGTTTTATACGTTAATTCGTGTGTAAAATCATTTTAAGTTAGCTAAGAACGGGTGTGGAGTCGTTGGTTTTGCCTGGAGCGCAAAGGAATAACGTAAAAGTACTGAATATATGATAATAAAATATATATAAAAAAAATTAAATCACAAGTAAATATTTCTGAAACCCTTAAGAAATCGCGTAGCAGGCGAAAGAAAGCATTTCGAATTTGACAAACGTACGATGAATTTGACCTTGAGAATTAGAAATGAAATATTCTAAAGTTATGGCTATTTGCTACGAGAATCCTATAAATTATCCGATAGATACGGAACTAAATAGTGATAATTTCAGAAAATAAAAACAACTGAAACTGAAAATGATAAAATGAAAAAAGCCACGTACTGACAAGAGAAAAGACCGAAAGAAAGAAATATCATTATTGCTTATTTCTCTAAAATATAATAAATAAACAATATATAAGATAGATAAATATCAAAGATGTCATGGGTGTCAACAAAATTAATTTTACTATTCTTATCGCGTGAAACGACATCTGAAACATATAAAAAAAATCATTTTTAACGTGAAATAATTAACTTAACTTTGAGTTTAATTTACAAAAAAAAAAATCGATAATTTAAATTAACGATTTAAATTAAAATTTAAACGCTTCTTAATAACAAAATATTTCCCAATCATCGAAACGTGACCGATCAATTATTTCCCCGCCTGCATACGCATACATATTTCGTTTAATCCGTGAACGTTCGAAAACAGGATTTAAACAACTGAATTAAAATTTTCTTTCATCGTTCGAACCACTGTTTCACGCGGCGACTCGAGCGATTTATCATTTCCAAAAAACAATAAGCATAGCCCAGTATAAGATTATATTCCCTCCTTGTCTCTTTATGCACGAGGCGTAAGTATAAAATAATTCTTTCGATAATAACCACGCACAAATCGTCTCGAGTACGCCCGCCCTCGAAAAGAAAAGAAAAAAAAAAAAAAAAAAAGAATCGAAGCGGAAACCACTCGAGAGGGGCGGCGTGTGTTTTCGTAGAGCCGGTCGGGTTCAAGTCGCCGATCTTCTCCAGCGACGACAGCCTGAGCAAATACGCGAGGCGGAAGGGCACGAGCGTGGTGCTCGCGTGCAGCGCTCAGGGATTCCCCGTCCCTAAGACCAGGTAATCGGGAGGGGTGGGGGTGGGGAGAGAACCGAAGAGAAGCGAACTTGGATCGATCGATCGGTGGATCGATTTCAGAGCCGGTCGCAGCAAGGTCGCCCCGATTCACGTCGGACGATCTGAGCCGCACGATCGGCCGTTCCGTGGGCCAGCCCGTCCCCATCTTTTGCGCCGCGCAGGGGAGCCCTCCGCCCACAACTAGGTAAACGAATCAATCGCGCGTATCGATCGAAATTATATCACGCGACAAACAAGAAATAATCCGAGGGTCGATGTATTGTTTATTAGAACCTGTTGGAAGCAAGGCGCCAGCCTTTGCCGGGGATCAAAAACTTTCTCTGTTGGTGCGACGAGCGAACACGGACGTTAGTCTTCCTTGCAATGCCCAGGGACATCCTACTCCTGTGTATAGGTAGGACCGAAGAAATTGGACCGAACTTGGAATCGAAGGAAGGGAACTAATCCTTTCTCCCTCTCCTCTCCTCTGATCCTAAGATCGTCGAGAAAAGGGGAACCCTGTCCTAGAGTTGGCAATTCCCCCCCGTTTTGACTTCCTTTTCCGTTGCTCAGAGCCGATGGGGATCAAAGCGCCGGCCTTCCTGGGGGACGTTAAGTCGTTCCTCCTCGTTCGTAGAGCGGGGTCAAAAGTGAGCATGACGTGCAACGCCCAGGGGCATCCTGTTCCCGTAACCAGGTATTATTTAATTGAAAGGTTGTTTTGGACGAAGATACTCGTTTCGATGCAAAAATTTAACCCTTCGCGCTCGGTGATTCTCATTCGAAAAATATTTATTTATTGTTTGAATATTTACAACAATATTTATTCTCGCTTGATCGTTTTGGAATATCGCTTCGTGAATAGGTTTCTCTTCAGATATGATTTTATGAGGTTTTTATCTCGAAGATCAGTGGAAATGTTATTTTCAAAGTTTTTGAATTTTGGGAGCATGGAATGTTCGGTGAATGAAATCAGTTCGAGTGAGAAGACGAGCTATCAATCTATTTTTCTTAATTCTAACTTCCTTTGATCGTTGAATATATCTTATATCTTAAGGGAAATTAAAATTTCTCTTCCAACTTTATCAATCTCTTCAACAATTTTAAACAGAATTTAATTTACTTTTATAAATCAATATATAATATAATAAGCAGATGAATAATTGTACATAATTTTTCTTAACGATTAAGAAGGCGTTGATGAACGACTCTTCAATAATCCAATTAATCAATGATATATTTTCCTACAATTTCTGTTAACGCATTTCCCTATTAAATTTTCTTTCCCTTCCTAATCATACATAAAACTATATCATCATAATTGAACTTTTGCTAATTCATTATTTAAGATCCAATATCAATTGGACAGTTATTTATATATTATATATTAGTACAATCCATTGTTAAAAATAAAATATCACATTTAAAAGCATTTTTTTTGTACAATCATAAGAAGAAAGGAGAGGTTTGTTACAAAGTAATATCTCGAAAAAAAAGAGAGAGAGAAAGACAACAAAGACGCGTTGAAAAAGAGATTAAGAGATGAGGATGGAGATGAAATAAGAGGCGAATAATAGTAGATAGTGAACGTGAAAGCAATAGTTCAAATGAATGAATGAATGAATATCGCGAAAGATACGGAAAGAATAACACAGAATCGGAAGAATACAAGAAGAATACAATTTGTTATCCGGCGAAAAATCTGCAGGATCGCAAGTATCTTCGAATATATGAGTGAACCGTTTCTTTAAAATTGTTTCTTACTGATAAACTTATTAATGAAATAGCGCGCGAAACAATATTTATTCACGCTTGATTGTTTTGTAATATCGCTTCGTAAATAGGCTCTTTATGTATGATCTTATGAGGTCTTATCTCGAAGATCAGTGGCGATGGAAATATTATTTTCAAAGTTTTTCAGTTTTGTGATTACAATTATGCAATAGAAAAGTTAGAAGAAAAAGTACTATTGCCCTATTTACAAACTTGAGGATGCATCTTGGTAATCGATAAAATATCACACAAAACGACAATATAGACTTTAATATTCCATAAATTTTCTTTCTTACGTGCAAAGATACATAAAATATTAAAATACAAAGTTTTACGCGCGTGAGATCGTTTTAAGTCAGCTGTAAGAAAACATCGAACGTGTGGTGTTCGACCGAGCGCAAACGGTTAAAATCGCGACTGTTTTGAGAAAAACAGAAAAACATTGAGTTCCATCGTGATGATTCCACGAGTGAAGTCCATTAAACGACCGACCGGTCGAATGCGAATCTTGGTATCGTGTTTCCGTTGTGTAACCCGATACACTATTAATCCGGTAAAAAACAGTTTCGAAGGGTATGCTCTTCGCTAATCCTTGTGACAGAGCCGGTCGCCTCGAAGAAGCCAAAGTTCTCGAGTGACGCGAAGAAGGCCTGGTACGATCGTGTGGTCGGCCAAGATCTCACGCTCTTCTGTCCCGCCCAGGGGTTCCCCGTTCCCTCGCATAGGTATACCTCGAAAAAAGAAAAAAGAATTAATCGTTGAACAAGTGTACGTCTATCGTATATCGAAGCATGGCCTTCTCTTAATAGAACCTCGAAGAAGCCAAAGTTCTCGAGCGACACGAAGCTTAGATCTCACGCTCTTCTGTCCCGCCCAGAGGTTCCTTCGCATAGGTATACCTCGGAAAAAGAAAAAAGGGAAAATTAATCGTTAGACGAGTGTATCGACTCTCTCTTATCGACAGAGTCGGTCGCCTCGAAGAAGCCGAAATTCTCGAGCGACGCGAAGCTTAGATCTCACGCTCTTCTATCCCACTCAGGGGTTCTCCGTTCCCTTGCATAGGTATATCTCGAAAAGTAATAGAGAAAATTAATTAGACGAGTGTATCGAGGCCTTCTTTCTTATCGACAGAGCCGGTCGCTTCGAAGAAGCCAAAATTCTCGAAGCTTAGCTGGTTCGAGCGTATTATCGGCCAAGATTTCACGCTCTTCTGTCCCGCCCAGGGGTTCCCCGTTCCCTCGCATAGGTATATCTCGAAAAAAAAAAAAGAGAAAATTAATTAGAGTGTATCGAGGCCTTCTTTCTTATCGACAGAGCCGGTCGCCTCGAAGAAGCCGAAATTCTCGAGCGACACGAAGCTTAGCTGGTACGAGCGTATTATCGGCCAAGATCTCACGCTCTTCTGTCCCGCCCAGGGGTTCCCCGTTCCCTCGCATAGGTATATGTACCACGCGAGAAAGAATTGGAATTAAATCGTTTAGACGAAGCATGCCCCTTTCGTGTACGTTTCGATTTAGAACCGGTGGGCAGCAAAGCGCCGGCGTTCACCGGCACGTTGAAGGGCGGATGGATGGAAGCGGAGGGGGACAGCCACGTCGTGCTCCTCTGTCCCGCTCAGGGGTTCCCGGTTCCAACGTATAGGTACATCTTGGAAAATATTAATCGAGAAAAAGCAAAGCAGCTTTTAAAGCCCGTTCTTTTTTTTTTTTTTTTTTTTTTTTACTTTCACCGTTCTCGCGTTAGAACCGGTGGGCAGCAAAGCACCTGCGTTCACCGGCGCTTTAAAGGGGGTTTGGATGGAGGCGAAAGGGAGCACCCATGCCGTCCTCTTCTGTCCCGCGCAAGGATACCCCGTGCCCTCGTTTAGGTAATCGAGGAGCGTCTTTTATCCACCCTCCAGAGCACCCTTGGGCGATCGTAATCGTGGCAGACGACGCCGATCCGGTTGACGCGTTGTTGCCCCCTTGGCCTTGTTCTCGTTCGATATCGGCCACTTCCCTTTCCCCGACGTTCCAAAGCGGAACGATTAATTCTGCCTCGTTCGTCGCGTTGTGCATTGTTAGAACCGGTGGGCAGCAAGGCACCGGCGTTCACCGGCGGGGACGTGAGGGGCGTCTGGCTGGAAAAGGGGGCTGGATCCAGCGCCGTGTTGCCGTGCCCCGCACAAGGATATCCCGTCCCTTCGTATAGGTAAAAGATATGTGTAGGGAAGTGGAGCGAGGAGAGATCGAAGAAAAGTATCGATTGCTCTCCTTTCTTAAACCTAAAGGGGCGTCCCGTCCAATTACGTAACCGTACGTATTAACAGCTCGTTGACAGCTTCCTTGTTTTGTGTATCCATTTATCAGAGCCAGTCGGGAGCAAAGCGCCGGCGTTGATGGGGATCGTTAGAGGAATAATGTTGCGAATCCAGGCGAAGTCCAGTGTCGTGATATTCTGTCCAGCGCAGGGCTATCCCGTGCCTTCATTTAGGTAAAATTCTCACGAATTCTTTAAAAGAAAATTATACACGGTGTACACGGTTTTCTAATTCCTCCTAATAATCCACCACCTCGTTCTTCGTTCGAGCTCGATGCTTCCCCTCGTTACTGCTAACATTATTAATCGCCACGTTCTTGTTTGTTGATCGCATGCCCACGTGTACGCAACAAATTCGTAGAACCGATCGGGACGAAGGCACCTGCGTTTACGAGCGAGTTGAGGGGTGGTTGGCTGAGGAAGGGAGCGAGGTCCAGCGCCGTTCTGTCGTGCCCGGCCCAGGGTCATCCTGTGCCCACGTTTAGGTAAAACGCTCGTTCGACGAAAGAGTTTTTTAAAAAAAAAATCCTTTCGAATTAGAGCCGGTCGGGAGCAAAGCGCCGGCGTTGACGGGTGACTTGAAGGGCGGCTGGAAGGAGAAAGCCTACGAGTCGACCGTCGTTCTCTTCTGCCCGGCTCAGGGCTATCCCGTGCCCAGTTTTAGGTAAATCATTTCGAAAAAACTTCGACTCGGAAAAAAAAAATATATATATATAAGCACCTATGTTGGTACTATTTTCGTTTTGGCCGAATCAGAGCCGATCGGCAGCAAAGCACCCGCGCTGACCGGGGAGATGAAACGGGGTTGGAAAGAGATCGGTACGCGATCGAGCGTGGTGTTGACGTGCCCCGCGCAAGGATACCCTGTGCCCGACTCTAGGTAAATCTAGATTACGCCACGATTCTTTTCTTTTCTCTCTCTCTCTCTCTCTCTCTCTCTCTCTCTCTCTCTCTCTCTCTCTCTCTTTCCACGGATAGAACCCGTCGGTAGCAAAGCGCCGTCGATTCTCGGCGAGAAGGGAAGTCTGATGGAGAGGCGGACCCGTGCCGACATCGTGATCCTCTGCCAAGGGCAGGCTTACCCTGTACCAACGTTCAGGTAAACAAAAAGCAGGAGAATCGATCGTCCTCCCTTTTCAAACTACTCTCACGTTTCTTTCATTTTACTCCCCTCCCTCCCCCGGAAGAGCCGGTGCAAAGCAAGGCTCCGTCCGTGACCGGTGACGCGAAACGATGGCAGAAGACGAAAGCCACCTCGGGATTCGCGATTCAGTGCCAAGCGCAGGGTCACCCGGTGCCCATGTTCAGGTATTCATTCTCTCTCTCTCTCTCTCTCTCTTTCGTGCACGAGCGCGAATATCTTTGCCGCAGAGCCGTTGGGAGCGAAGGGGCCGAAATTCTCGAGCGACGATCGCGTAAACTCGTTCGTACGCGCCGCGGGAGGATCGTCGACGCTCCTGTGCCCCGCCCAAGGGTTCCCTGTCCCCTCGTCCAGGTAAACAGAATAGAACGCTCACCTCGCTCGAATCTGTTTCAATCGCGCTCCAGAGCCCGTGGGATCCAAGGCGCCCGCCTTCCAGAGCGACGCGAAAAGCGTCACCTACGTGAGAGCCGCGAGGTCCTCGGTCGCGATCACGTGCGCCGCTCAGGCGTCGCCGCCCCCGACTCACAGGTAATTCCCCTCTTCCGCGCGCGGTGGTGGTGGTGGCGCGTACGCGAGAGGAGGGCGAGGAGTTACCTTCTCTTTTCTTTCTTTCGAAATTGTCAGAGCCTGCCGGTCGGGTGTCGCCCAAGTTTCCAAAGTCTGCTAAGTCGGACGCGTTCGAGGCGGCGTGCGGGGCCGTGGTCAGTTTGTTGTGCGACGCCCAGGCGTTCCCAGCTCCCGCGTTTAGGTCAGTGGAACAGGGGACCGATTTATTCGCCGCTTCTTGTTCTTGGCGCAGAGCCGGTGAACGGCGCCAAGCCGAGAGTCGCGTCCACCTCCAAGTACGACGTTCTCACCAGCCACGCGGATAGCCCGGTAACGATGCTTTGCCCGGCGCAGGGCCACCCTCTTCCAGCTTTTAGGTGGGTTTTTCAGAACCGAGGGATCCGAGGGATCGTTGCTCTCGAATTATTTGCTCTCGTGTCCAGAGCCGGTGAGCGGCGCCGCCCCCAAAGTGCCAGCCACGGCAAAAATAACGGTCCTCTCTTTGCCCGCGCGCGGCCCCGTGGCGGCGTCGTGCCAGGCGCAGGCGCATCCCTTGCCGATCTTCAGGTACGCTCGAAAAGGAAAAGGAGAAGGAGAAGTCTTGGTCGTCCCTTTCCTCCGCTCGACTCGACTCCACCCGATAGAATATATCGAAGCGCGAAGATCGATCGATCGGTTCACGCTTTTCCAACGTGTTTTCTTTTAGACCCGGTCGGAAGTAGCCCTCCTCGATTGCCGCCTAGATCGAAATTCGACGGATTGGCAAAAGTGCAGGGCCAAGGTTTGACGTTGCTGTGCGAGGCTCAGGCCAGTCCTCCGCCTTTGTACAGGTGAGCAACGTCCACAATCCCGTCGATCGGTCTTCGTTCTTCCCTCGTCTTTATCGACAACGACGACAAGCGACGACGCGTCTCTCCCCGCAGAGCCACGGAGTACTATGCGGCCAAACGTGCGGGACAACGACGTGACCGGTTTAAAGAGGGACATCCTGGTCGATCGAACGGTGGGCCTGTCGTGTCCCGTTCAAGGTTTCCCAGCGCCCACGTTCAGGTACTCGAACGATCAAACGTTCAACTCAAACGTTCGACTCGTCCCTTCGATTCGATTTTGGGTGGGGTGGGAATCGCGCTGTTGCAGAGCCAACCGGCAACGTCGCGCCGCGCATCGCCGGTGAACGTTACGAGGGCGGCAAGCTCGTCGACGTAGCTGGGTCGTCGATGGCGGCCCTCGACTGCACCACCCAGGGATCTCCCGTCCCAGCGACAAGGTACCCCCCTCCCCTCCCCCCCCTCCTCTCGGCGACACGTGTTCACGAACGGGTTTCAGAGGGAACGACCAAGATAGCTCCGCGCACGTCGGGCAAGAAGTTCGAGAGGGAAGTGGTTTTGGCTGCTAGAGGTCAGGATGTCGCGTTGAGTCACTCGCTCCAAGGATTCCCCGTCCCCCTCGCAAGGTAGCACGCCCCCTTTCCCCCTCTCTCGCGGTTCCCCCCCGATCGTCGAGTGGACGTGTCACGTCGATAATCCAGACGGACAGGTTCAGATCCACCACGGCCTCGTCGGGTAAGTACGCATGCATTGTGTTTCTCAAGATCTACTCGCTCGTAGGGATAGACCATGGAGGAGGAGGAGAAGGTACGTAGCGTAGTTTCGTTCCTCGCGAGGAGAGGGTCTTTCCACCTCGTGGAAATTGATGGAAAAAATAATTTTTCGTGAGATTATTTTGTGAAAGATTATATACGGGTAAGAGCCTGTTCCTCGCGGAGGAGAGAAAGTTTTTATTTAATCAGATCAGAGGGTGACGAATCTGATCTGGACGTACGAACGTAGAGGAAAAGGAGGAGACGAAGTGTATTTTGGGGGATCATTTAATGGTTGTACTCTAATCGGGGCAATGAACCGAATATCGATTTCCAGAACCGTCCGGTCGTACCGGCCCAAAAGGGACTGGAGACGGCCTTAATAAGTGCCGCGGGGTAGAGGGCGAGTCTCTGGCGCTGGCGTGTGCGGCACAAGGCTTTCCTGCCCCGATCACTAGGTACACACGAATTCCGTATAGCTTCTTTTCTTTTTTTTCTTTTGTTGTTGTTTGGTCGTTTGGTCTTGCTCCGCAGAGCACGGATCCTATTTTCGAAGCGTTCCATCCTTACCCTCTACCCCGGGTGTCGGGTGGCGGTAAATCCGCAAAAAATCCTCGAGAAGTCGACGAGGAGGAACCGACGGAGAGTTCGACGGAACGAGTAGTACGGAGAGAGAGAGAGAGAGAGAGAGAAGAGAGATGAAACGAAGGCAAACTCCGTTGGAAATTGCCGTGAGAGAAAAAAGATAAGGGTGAAACGAGAACAAAGGTAGCCTCGAGTGGAAAAAAAGAGGAAAGAGAAAGAAAGAGAGAGAGAGAAGGGAACAGAGAAAAAGGAGAAAAGGAAAAAGCGGGAAACATGTGCACAGCTGTGAGATCTCAGATCCGAACGATTTAACGAGAAAGAAACGACGGATGAGCGAGAGAGAGAGAGAGAGAGAGAGAGACGATAATATATCACAGGTCAGATTTTCTCTTCGTCGATAAGAATTTCGATTCCTTTATTGGCGATTTTATTTCGTTGTCGCTCTTTCGTTTCTTTTCTTTCTTTCTTTTTTTTTATTTTTTTTTATTCTCCGCGATTCGAGCCGCTCTTGAGAGAACGCGAGGAAGGCGAGAAAAAGGAAAAGAAAAAAGAGAAGGAGAAATTACGTCGTTACGGCGCGAGGGAAGGAAGAGAGGAGAGGAGAGGAGAGGAAAATTGGTGAAATATATACTCGATGTATATACTCGGGGCCAATCGGACAAAAATGTTGGTTTTCAGCGCCAACTTGGAACCCCCTCCCCCACGTGTGGCGCACACAACCCCCCACGAGAATAGGTGACGGACGCTAGACTCTGAAAAGGATGCGGGCCCTCTTCTCCTTCGGTAACCTCGGTGCCTGAGAGGGTGTCACCCGATCAAACAGGGGCCAACAATGTTGCCCCCTGCACCTGCACACCTCCAATAAGTCCCACGATATCTGGCTGGTAAGTCCTCGCCACCTTCGTGCCTCCGTTCATCCGTTCGTGTTTTTTCACCACCACCACCACCACCACCACCATCACCACCCTCTCTTTCTCTCGCTTTGCCACAGGATTAATTTCGTCTTTCGTGATCTTGTTCCCCCTTGCTCCCTCGTAATTGCAATGTCGCGCGATTTCCGAATTGTTTGCACAATTTCTCATTTTACACGCCGTGTCGCTCGATTGCCACCAGCTTCCCCGAGCTCCCCCTCATCTATGTGTATCCGCCTTTTTTCTTTTATTTTCAAAATATCATCAGCGCGAGAACCTTATTTTTCCTAATATAAGAATTTTCGAATTTTCACGAGTTCTCTCGCCTCCGAATCCGATTCCGTTGCCAATTATATATCTCGCATTCGCTCACCACGTGGCGAGGATCGAGAGAGTTGATCTTCGTCCTCCGACTCGAGCGTGTTATCGAGGGAAAAAAGAAAAAAAGAAAAAAAGAAAACCTACGCTTCTTCTCTTTGCGCACTCTTTTCTCTTTCTTTTCTTTCCTTTTTTTTTTTTTTATTTTTCAATAAACCCCTCCCCTCAGTAACCAAGTTGTCGCTGTTGTTGTTGTTGTTGTTCGCCAGCCTTCGTAAATCCCTCCCCCCCCCCACCCGTATCCCCTCCGACCTGCTCTGCTTCACGACCGCTATTTACGCTCCAGCTGTTGTCTCGAGCTCTCTTTTTCATTAAGTTTGCGTACTTGTGTCGTAGCGAGACACGCGCTAATGAGCCGGCAGTAGAGGCAAAAGCCCGCGCCCAGAGACGCCCAAAGCCCTGCCTATATATATATGTACATATATATATATATATACTCGGAACATGGAAGATGGGAAAGAAGCGCGAAGCGAATAGAAACGCACCGATGGCGACCTCTGTATACATACATACATACATACATACATACATACATCTCTTTATTCGTTCGGATCCACTTTTTCGCGCGATAGCCTCTCCCTCCCCGCCTCTAGTGTCGAACGTCTCTTTCTATTCGCTTCGTGTTTCCATCCGATCCAATCCGAGAGGAAAAAAAAAAAAAAAAAAAAAAAAGGAAAAAAAAAAAAAAAAAAAAAAAAAAAGAAAAAAGAAAAAAGAATCGAAAGAAAGTGTGAATCCAAAGAAAAAAATATCGGTGGCCGACCGAATGGCAAATCACAATCCCCGCCTGCCATGTCTCGTTTCAGATGGTACAAGTTCATCGAGGGCTCGTCCCGCCGTCAACCAGTCCAATTGAACGAGCGCGTCCGCCAGGTTAGCGGGACACTGATCATCCGCGAAGCGCGTGTCGAGGATTCGGGCAAATATCTTTGCATCGTGAACAACTCGGTGGGCGGGGAGAGCGTGGAGACGGTGCTCACCGTGACGGCGCCGTTGGGGGCTGAGATCGAGCCGAGCACCCAGACGATCGACTTCGGCAGGCCTGCAACATTCACTTGCAACGTGAGAGGGAACCCGATCAAGACCGTCTCCTGGCTCAAGGACGGGAAACCGCTTGGATTGGAGGAGGCGGTGTTAAGGATCGAGAGCGTGAAGAAGGAGGACAAGGGGATGTACCAGTGCTTCGTCAGAAACGACCAGGAAAGCGCCCAGGCGACGGCAGAGCTCAAACTCGGTGGACGATGTGAGTTTTCTCAAATAGGGGGATAAAGGGGATAAAGGGGAGGGTTTTTTATTTAACGCTTAGATTTGCGGGCATTGAGTATATATCTTTTTTTCTACTGAAATCCGGCTTTTTGACTTTTGGGTATATTAAAATGCAATTTTTTGTAAATTTAAAATTTAAAATAGATTTTTATTTACTGTTCTTTATTTATCTTATTACTATCTTGGATGTATACTTTTACATACTCGTTAGATTTACGGACATTGAGTAGATATTTTTTTTTTTTTTTTTTACTGAAATCCATCTTTTTGAATTTTGGCTTAACATACTTGTTGTCTTATATACATTTTTTTACATGTTCTTTACATTAAACTGGATGTATACTATAAATCTTGAATGTATACTTTCCACATACATACTCGTTAGATTTAACGCTAGATTTACGGGCATTGAGTATATATTTTTTTTTTTTGTACTGAAATCCGTCTTTTTGACTTTTGAGTATTTATTTAAAATCTAAAATAGATTTTTATTTACTGCCTTGGATGTATTTATTCGCATATTCGTTAGATTTAACATTAGATTTACGGATATTGAATATATACTTTTTTTTTTTTTTTATTGAAATCCGTCTTTTTGATTTTTGGATATATTAAAAATTTTTTGTAAATTTAAAATCTGAAATAGACTTTTATTTACTGCCTTGGATGTATTTCTGCATATTCGTTAGATTTAACATTAGATTTACGGGCATTGAGTATATACCTTTTTTTTTGTACTGAAATCCATCTTTTTGACTTTTGGATATATTAAAATGCAATTTTCTGTAAATTTAAAATTTAAAATAGATTTTTATTTACTGTTCTTTATTTACTGTCTTGGATGTATACTTTCTGCATATATACTCGTTAGATTTAATGCAAATATAATTAGAATATAATGAATTGAGGTTAATATTTTATTCGTCGTGATGGTCACTGCCCAACTTCTTCAGCTAATTGAAAGAGAAAATTCTTTCGAGATATATTTACTGCAGTGATCTCTTTGTATAATATCCAGACATTGGTGGCTGGATATTATAGAAATCTAAAAACAATTATAAAATATGTGAAGGGGTCATCTAGGGAGAGATCCTGTTTTCACGGTATTTTCTTCCTTATTCTTTTTTTTATTTCACTTTCGCTTTTAATATCTGAAATAACACGCTTTTTTTTTTACGCTATGTAATTTTCATTTCCACTGTCGTCGGAATCTTCAATTTCGTTGATATTGTCAAATTCTTCCTCGCTTTCGCATAATTCCTTTATATCAGAATCTGATCCAGATTGGTCTTCATTTATTCTGATTATTCTTTTTTATCAATTCCATATCTTTTGAAAACTTGCCCGTAATACTCTTATCTGAATAAGCAAAATATAAATGTAAAAAAATATATTTTATTATAAATTTTGAAAATATCTTGAAAAATTCAAATCTTCGCTCAAGAAAATAAATTTTTGCTAAGCTTCCAAATAGCACGTATTTTTTTTTTTTTTTTACAAAACGCACTTGAAATTGTCTCTCATGTTGATCTATTTGTTTTATAAAATAATAAGACAGATTTGCTTACAAAAATCACTTCTTTTCTCTGCAAAATTCACCGTTGAAAGAATTATTTGTTATCATATCACAATTCTAAACAACTTGTTTGCTCATGCATCTATCGTTAAACAGTCGTCGTTTGCTTCGTGTTATTTTTTTTCTTACTATTATTTTCTATATTATTGATCTATATAAATTAAACCCGTCAAATTGACGGATATTTTCATAAAAATAGGTATACAACATCTAGAAACAATAAAATATAAACGAAGAAGAAAAACGAATAGAAATATTTGCTGCATTGTATCGTTAAAATCCAATATGTAATGTCTAAATATTCAGAATTTTTAAGATCGAAAACCCGTCAAATCTAAGCGTTAAGATTTTTAGATTCGTTTCTCTTTAACGGAGGCAGTTTTGATCGCAAATATTTTTCACACCCGCAGTCGAACCCCCGCAGATTCGCCAGGCATTCGCCGAGGAGACGCTTCAACCGGGGCCGAGCATGTTCCTCAAGTGCGTAGCGAGCGGCAACCCGACCCCCGAGATCACCTGGGAACTCGATGGCAAACGTTTGTCCAACACGGAGAGGCTTCAGGTTGGCCAATACGTGACGGTGAACGGCGACGTGGTCTCCCATCTGAACATATCCAGCACTCACACGAACGACGGTGGACTGTACAAATGCATCGCAGCTTCGAAGGCAAGGCCCCCTTTTCCTTCCTTCCTTCTTTCCGACTATTCAACTGAATAGTACTTTTTCAATAAAATCTATTTTTATTGCAACTTATCATAGATCATCAGATATCACGGTTGATTAAAATTTATTTAAAAATTTATATATATATATATATATCTCGAAAATAAGAGAGCTAAGTTTATAACAATTTTTTTGTGGCATTAAAATTATAAATATAAATTTAGAAATTAAATGTTATACGAATTTATTGATATCTAATTTTTTTTTTTTTTTAGAAATAAATTTAATTTAGAAAGATAGAAATTTTATAAATTAAAATTATGTTTAATTTATAAATTTTTAATGAAAATTTTTTTAAGTAAATTTTGATATTATAGAAGTAATTTTTTTTTTTAATTAAAAAAATTTAATAATTTAGTTTGTAATAATTAAAGATTTAAATTAAAAATTTTTTTACGTGTCTTATTGATATCTAATTTTTTTTTTTTTTAGAAATAAATTTAATTTAGATATAAAAATTTTATAAATTAAAATTATGTTTAATTTATAAATTTTTAATGAAAATTTTTCTAAGTAAATTTTGATATTATAGAATTTTTTTTTTAATTAAAAAAATTTAATAATTTAATTTGTAATAATTAAAGATTTAAATTAAAATTTTTTTACGTGTCTTATAATAATATACAATGATAAAAATAGAAATCGATCATTTCTGTCTGTTAATCATGTCTATCGATAACATATCGATAAAATGATCATAATTCTCGATTTCGAAAATTAATCGGTAATTTGTATAATTTTTCCGTTATCTTTTTCTGGAAACGTTTTCCGGAATATTAAAGCATCGATGTAAAATTCTAATCTACAATGAATATAATAACAACGAAGAAAAAGACACGATCTATTTTTATAATCTAAATTTACGTACGGAAAAATGAGAATTTTTTTATCACAACGAGTAGTAAAAATTTAAAGAAATTCCATCTTTTTCTTTTCGAGAAGCGAAAAAAATCGGATGATAAATTAATTGGATGGATCGAACTGGTTACAGGTCGGATCAGCGGAACACTCGGCACGTCTCAACGTCTACGGTCTCCCCTTCATTCGCCACATGGACAAAAAGGCCATAGTAGCCGGTGAAACTCTTCGCGTCACTTGCCCGGTTGCCGGATATCCGATCGAGAGCATCGTGTGGGAGCGGGACACGAGGGTGTTGCCGATCAACAGGAAGCAAAAAGTCTTCCCCAACGGGACCCTTATCATCGAGAACGTGGAGAGGATGAGCGACCAGGCTACCTACACGTGCGTCGCGAGAAACGCTCAAGGTTACAGCGCCAGAGGAACGTTGGAAGTTCAAGTGATGGGTAAGTTTCTTTATATTCGTTTCTTTATATTTATACAAGCGAACCGAGTTTTATCATTCGATTTTATCGAGATTCGAGATTCGAATATATATTTTCCGCGATTAATTAAAAGAGTAGCTTTATCTTCATTCATTTCAACTCGTTTTCTTTTTTTTTTTTTTTTGAACGAATAAACGCGCACGTTCGATATCGCGTATATATTTAAATAATGAATCGTATCTCGCGTTTTAAAAACGCTCTTTTCAGGTTGTATCCAGGTGTTATATAGACGAACGTTTATACACGATAACGTTTCTCACGTTCTTATCTTACAGCTCTAATAACCACTCTTTCAGCGAATCCCGACGCTTATCGATGATTTCGATAAGAATTACCAGTCCAATAGATCGTCGAGTATCCCGGCCGAAAGATCGGTGTAATACGCGCGAGACCTTTTCAGTGCAGAAAAATCGCGTGACACGGACACGGACCCCCGTCAACGTTTTGTAATCGCGCGTCAAACGTGGATCGTCTCGAAAACAGGGACGAGCGCTTTTCGTTGGAATGTTGGTATGGCGGTGGCTATATATATCTATATATATATATATATATCGACCGTAAGAAAAATTCTGACTCGCGTTGTTCTCCGTTTTCGCGAGCGTAATCGCTGCTGCACAGAGTACCGTGTCCCTGAATCGACGCGTACATCGACGGATCGGCTTCCCTCGTTCTCTTTTTCATTCATCGAGAAAGAAAGAAAGAAAGAAAGAAAGAGAGCGCAGCCGATCCATCGACGTTGAACCACGTCGGTCCACGTGACGCGTACATCGCTCGCGACATACCTGTCATCACACGTCCATACATCGATCCTCCACCCTCAGTGCCGCCCACGATACAGCAGTTCTCGTTCACCAAGCTACCCATGAACGCCGGGGAGTTCGCAAACCTGCAGTGTATCGTACCTACCGGTGACCTGCCTTTGAACATACGTTGGAGCTATCCCGGAGAGGAGATGGGCGGTTCCTCAGGCGTGCTTGCCAAGAAGGTCGCGGATCGCGTTAGCATGCTCATGATCTCGGTCATCACCGCGAGACACGCGGGGGAGTACGTTTGCACCGCTGAAAACGCGGCTGGAACCGCGTCCCACTCAACCACGCTCACCGTCAATGGTTCGGGACTATTATCCTCTCCTAGAGATATACTTTCTTCGTTTTTTCTTTTATTTGTATACGTACACGTGTATGTACATATACCACGTGTATACACGTTTATCTTTCTGCACAATTCCTGGCAAAGAAACAGCACCGTAGCGAAAAGAGAAAAACCATCTCCCTTCCCTTCCCCTCCCTTCCTCAAAACTCGTAACTCTCGAATAGATAATCGGGCAGCAACGAGACTAATCCACTAATCGTAAGATTACTTCAGTTGGACCGCAGCTTCTACCGATCGCATTCAATGCCGAGGTCGCCAACTCGGGAGACTCCGTGTCCGTACCTTGCTCGATCTTGAAGGGCGACATGCCCATGGATATATCGTGGGCGTTCAACGGCGTTGCGATCGACACGTCGAGAGACTCTAGTATCACCGTGACGAGGATCAGCAAACATCTGAGCACGCTGAGCATCGACGGCGTATCAGCGAGGCACGCCGGGGAGTACGCCTGCTCCGCGTCGAATCTCGCCGGTTCCGTCAGTCGATCGGCAACCTTAACGGTCAACGGTACGGTTTTCGATCCATTCCTCCCATTTCCTCCCTCCTCCTCCTCCTCTCCCTCTTTCACCACCTTCCATTATTTCCCTTTCGGAAAAAGTCAAAACTCGAATCGACCGCCTTCTCTTCTCTCTCTCTCTCTCTCTCACTCTCTCTCTCACCGCCATACCAACCGGCCGTAGGAACGTGTAGGAACGCGGATGGAAGAGAGATGGATCGATTAGCGACCGCTTTCGGCTCCTCCTCGCTCCTCTCTGCTCGTCAATTTTCCAGTTGCCCCGCAAATACTGCCGTTCGCTTTCGGGGACGAGGCGGCCAGCTGGGGCGAGTTAGTCTCCGTGACTTGTTCCGTGGCCAAGGGCGATCAACCGCTCGAGATATCTTGGGCGTTTAACGGGACTCCGATCGGCAGCCACCACGGATCCGACGTCGTCATAGGAAGTACCAACAAGAAAAACAGCGTGCTCACTATCGAGTCGGTCGCGGCGAGGCACGCCGGGGAATATACGTGTTCCGCGTCGAATCGCGCCGGCGCCACCACGCATTCTTCTCGGCTAACCGTGAACGGTACATGCGTACGTGATTTCCATGGCACGCAGAAAAAAGAGAAAAAACCTCCTCCTCCTCCTCCTCCTCCTCCTTCTCTTTCTCCCTTTTCTTCCTCCTCGCGGCATCCCCCGCCCTCCCCCCCCCGGCGATACACGCGATATCGGATCTGTGGATGAAAGGACGCTGCGAGCGGAGAACCAACCACCCTTTCTTTTCTTTCCTTTCTAACGGGCCGCAGTCGCGCCACAGATCCTCCAGTTCTCTTTCGGCGACGATCCGCTCAACTCGGGGGAGATGCTGTCGGTTTCTTGCACGATCGTGAAAGGCGACTTCCCGGTCAATTTGACGTGGACGTTCGACGACACCCCGATAGACTCGAGCAGGCAGGACGTTAATATCATAACTAATAAGAGGGTCAGCTTCTTGAGCATCGACAGCGTTGCGGCGAGGCATGCTGGAAGATACAAGTGCATCGCGTCTAATGCCGCCGGATCCGACAGCCACACGGCCGTCCTCTCGGTCAACGGTATCACATCTCTCCCCCCTCTCTCGACTTATACACAGAATATTGTTGATAAATCTTGCCAATTGTGTGGCTATTAAAGAGCGCGCCGACCCATTCGAGGGGTATCGATCTTCCTCCTCCTCCTCCTCCTCCTCCTCCTCCTCCTCCTCCTCTTCCTCTTCTTCTTTCCACTAAATTTTTCTAAATTATCGGTCGGCGCGTTTTTCAATCGCTTTTGTATTCGCTCTCTTTCTCTTTCTCTCTTTCTCTCTGGTAACTTGTTGTGTTTCCGCAGTAATATTCTCTTCTATAGTTTGCAACGATGTTTATTAAGATGAAAGTTGTTACTGCCGTCGTCGTGGCGATGATCGTAGTAGCACGATCTTCCAAGTGAAGGTGAGGATCGTCGCGTTGAGGCGACGGCGGAGGTAACAAGGAGGACGCACGGAGATCGCACATCATCCAGCCAGATCTCCGTGTCTCTTTCTTCTTCCCCTTACTTCTTCTGTCTACACCGCTTTTTCTTCCTTCCCTTCCCTTTCTTTACTCTACTTATTCTTATCCCACCGTCGACCATCCTCCCTCTTTGTCTCCCCTAGCAATCCACCCGAATTCGAGCTTGTATAATTATTTTCCTCCCCTCTCTCCGCGGGAAGCTCCGTAAAAAGAAAAAAGCGCGTTGATTCAAAGGCTGTTCGTCGTTGCTTCGTACTTGCAGTGGGGCCCCAATTGGCCCCGTTCACGTTCGGTGACGAGGCAGCCAACGCGGGGGAGATGGCCACCGTTCAGTGCGCCGTGATCAAGGGCGATCTGCCGGTGAGGATCGCTTGGTCACTGAACGGTAGGCGTATCGACGCAGGCCGCGCTTCAGCCGAGCAGAGTCACGACACCCCCGACATCGTGGTGACGAGGAGTAGTAAACGGATCAGCACGCTCACCATAGACTCGGTGGCCGCGAGACACGCGGGCGAGTACTCGTGCACAGCGACCAACGAGGCCGGATCCGCAACGCACGTCTCGGTCCTCTCCGTAAACGGTACGCCCCGCTATCGAGGTCGATCGGGGGCGATCGGGTGGTGGTGGACGAACCGATCGGGTGGTCGGTCGGCTGTGCGATGCACAGGGGGGAGGGGAGGGTAATATGTATCGCGACGTATACGATACGGTGATGGTGAAAACGCATCCCCTCGTCTCTGGGGGTGCGTTTGTGTACACAGGGTGTTTATGTTAAAATGTGAGAGTCGGGGGATTAGAGAGATCAAAGCGATATAAGAAGTTCGTGTTCGATAAGGCTTGATTAAGGAGTTGTAAGCATTTTAAGCATTTGTATTAGATAGAGCGAGAACGCGCTATCTATCGCGCGGCAGTGTCGTATTGCAATGTAGCGGGGCCCCTCGATCAGAGTATATATAATTTTTTACAATTGATTATTTCAAATGAATTTCAGGGTAATGTAATGTAGTGTACGTATGTAATTTTTTATTTAGTTTAACTCGAATAAGTTTTGGTAAATTCCAGAATATTAGCGTATACATCATTTTATATCTAAATCCATAGTTGAATTGTTGTATGATACTCAATTTGTCTACTTATACTTTTTTATATACAATTGATTATTTCAAATGAATTTCAGGGTAATGTAATATAATGTATGTACGTAACTTTTTATTTAACTTATCTCGAATAAGCTATAGTAAATTCCAGAATATTAATATATACATCACTTTATATCTAAATCCATAGATAAATTATTTTACGTATTATTTAAATCCATAGTTGAATTGTTGTATGACACTCAATTTGTCTACTATATACTTTTTTATATACAATTGATTATTTCAAATGAATTTCAGAGTAATGTAATATAATTTATGTACGTAACTCTTTATTTAACTTATCTCGAATAAGCTATAGTAAATTCCAAAATATTAATATATACATCACTTTATATCTAAATCCATAGATAAATTATTTTAAGTATTATTTAAATTCATAGTTGAATTGTTATATGACACTCAATTTATCTATTTATTTCAAGATATAATTTATATGATAATATACAATCGTATAATATAACTATGCAACATTTTTATATCATTTAAGATAAAAATATTAATTTATTGATAGTAATTAGTTATTTAACAGAAACTTATTCGAGGTAAGTTTTATATGTATATAAAAAAGTATCAGTATATTTACTTTCATCGGGGGTCTCCGTTACGCAATACGGTACTGCCGCGCACGTAACTGAGCATTCTCGTTCTAATACAAACTCAAATCTAATACAAAATCCTTATAATTCGTTAATTAAACCTTATCGGACATATCGTGTACACTAACTTTTTTATCGTTTTGATGTCTATAAGAATTCATAGGTACCCACATTTTTATGAATATATATACACATATATATCATGACTATTCCTTTCGTCGTTCTTCCATCCGAGATATATATATATATATATACGCTATGTATATATATATATATATATATATATTTTATACACCGGTATAGCATCGTTTTTATTTCCGTTTAACGACACTCGCGTGTATCGACACGTTTCCATGCCATCTATCTATCCGATTGTCATCACGTCGACAGTGCCGCCACGCATCGCCCCGTTCGAAATGGCCGACAAGGCCGTGAATTGGGGTGATTCCGTATCGGCTGTCTGCACCGTGGTCAACGGGGATTCCCCGCTCGAGATCAGCTGGGCCCTCGATTCCATGCCTATCGACGAGAGCCACCGGATATCCGTGATTACTAAGAAAAGGAACAGCCTGCTCTCCATTGATTCGGCCAGCCCGAGTCACGCGGGAACGTACACTTGCGTAGCTTCGAACGAGGCCGGTGCCACCAGCTATTCGGCGGAATTGACGGTGAACGGTACACTTAACGCACTCACGATGGACAGACATCCCCGAAAAAAACGGACTCGTGTATATATACGTATAAATATATTCCTCCCCTCCCCTTTTCAATCCCTTCTTCCCTTCTCGCCGCTTCTCGCGCTTCTTTCGCTTCTCCACGCAAACGAAGGAGATCTCTCTCTCTCTCTCTCTCTCTCCCTGGACATGGATAGATAGATAGATAGATAGATAGATAGATAGATAGAAGTAGAGAGAAAGATGGAGGAAACAGAAAGTCGGGGAAAAGAAAGTGTTGGGTTACAGTCGCACCGCAGATAGCTCCGTTCGTGATCACCGAGGAGCCGGCTAATTGGGGCGACTCGATTTCCGTGGTGTGCGCCATCCTCAAGGGCGATTTACCGATCGAGATCTCGTGGGCATTGAACGGCGAGCCGATCGGCCGTGATCGTTCCGATATTAACGTTGTGGCGACCACGAAAAAGAATAGCATCCTCAGCATCGAGTCGGTCGCCGCGAGGCACGCGGGGGAGTACACGTGTTCGGCGTCCAACAAGGCTGGAGCAACCAGTCATTCGGCCATCCTCGCCGTAAACGGTACAATTTTTTCTTCTCCTCCTCTCCTTGCTTCACTCTTTCCTCTCTGCCCCCCACCCCTTCCTCTTCCTTGCCTATCCGGTCCAGGTGTCGGTGGTGGTCGAGGCTTGGATTTTTCGAATTTTTTTTTTTGGAATTTTCGAGCAAGGGAAATTTTATGAATAATCGTATACATATATATATATATTTATATAAATCGAGCTTGATCGTGTCTGATCGGATCGATCGATCGATCGATCTCGTTCGTTCCTAGTTGCGCCCGAGATAGCTCCGTTCGTGATCAGTGAGAGACCGGCTAACTGGGGGGACACGGTCACCGCAACCTGCACCATGTTGAAGGGCGATCCTCCGATACAGATCGAGTGGGCCCTGAACGGCGAGCCGATCTCCCACGATTATTCCGATATATCGATCGCGACCAGCAGACGTGTCAGCTTGCTCACTATAGACGCTGTGACGGCCAGTCACGCCGGGGAATACACCTGCATGGCGAGCAACGCCGCCGGTGGGACGAGTTTTACCGCGACTTTGGCCGTCAACGGTACACAAATTACGATACACGTGCTCTCTCTCTCTCTCTCTCTTCATCTCCATCTCTTTGCTTCTTCTTTCTCTCTCTCTCTCTCTCGATATCTGCATGCGCGATAACTCTCTACTTACACCAGGCCAGATCTAGATTTCCATCGATTCCCTCCAATCCCCTTCCTTTTTCTTTTTTTTTATTTCATTTTATCAGGAAGTCATGGACGTCGATTGTTCGAGCATCATCGTCGATCACGAAAGCTCGTTACGCTCTTTTTCTAATACATATATATGTATATATATATTATCTTGACTACAGTTGCACCGGAAATCGTGCCATTCGATATCGGAGAGGGGCCAGCGAATTGGGGGGACACCGTGACCGCAACGTGCACGGTACTGAAAGGGGATCACCCGATCCAGATAGAGTGGGCGTTGAACGGCGAGCCGATCTCGCGTAATCATTACGACATATCGATAGTAAATACCAGCAAGCGGGTCAGCCTGTTGACGATCGACGGTGTGACAGCGAGACACGCGGGAGAATACACGTGCTCTGTCAGCAACGCAGCCGGTGGGACGAGTTATTCCGCAACTCTCGCCGTGAACGGTACACCAAACGTTATCCCTCCTTTATTTTCTCCTCTATTCATATAATCTCGCTCTTCTCTTTTCGCATGCACGCAACGATCTTTGTTCCTTCCTTCCTTCCTTCCCCTCCTCCTACCTATTTCCTTTGATCCTACCTCGTCGAAGAGGAGAGGAGCAGAAGGTATTTCGTGGTGCTCGTCGTGAATGAGAATACAAATTCGACTCGAGGAGATCCCTTTTCCCTTTCTCATTCTCATTCGAAGTGACCGAGAAATGGACGTTCATGTCCATCCGGGGGGAGGGGAAATTGATAGATATTAATCAAGGTTGGATGTGGTTCACGAATATGTGCTAAAGCAAGTTTCCATGTCGTTGTAGTTGCGCCGCATATAGGGCCATTCTCGATCAGTGACGGACCGGCAAACTCGGGCGACATGGTCTCGGCCACCTGTTCGATAATGAAAGGCGACTTTCCGGTAGAGATCGTGTGGAAGTTTAACGGTAGGGCGATAGGTTTCAACGATCCGGACTTAACTATCACGAGGATCAATAAACATATGAGCGCACTGAGCATCGAGTCCGTTGCGGCGAGACACGCGGGCGAGTATACTTGCGTCGCGACGAACAGGGCTGGAAACGTCACCCACTCGACCACGTTGGCTGTGAACGGTATATATACGAAAGAAACAAGCACGCTTGCACGTCAAACGAGTTTTGCACATTGTCATCGCCTATTCAAAAAAAAACTGAGAAAAAAAAGAAAGAAGAAAGACTCGATCCCGATTATCCCTATCCACCCGCCTTCTTCCCTCCCCTTCCCTTTGTCGTACGAAACGAGGAACGAGGAAACGAGAAATTTCCTATACGTATACACACATATACACACACACATACATATATATATATATATATTTCGGTTATTTTCTATAATCGCGTAACGCGAGTGGCGGCCATTTTCTCAGTTGCACCGCAGATCTTTCCATTCACGTTCGGCGACGAGCCGGTGAACTCGGGCGAAGCGATCTCGGCGACCTGCTCGATCCTGAAGGGAGACTTCCCGATGGACATAACCTGGGCGTTCAACGGTTCGCCCATCGATTCCGAGAGAAGCGATCAGTACACGATCACGAAGAGCAAGCGGCTGAGCGTGTTGGCGATCGACGCCGTGGCGGCAAGGCACGCGGGTGAATACACTTGCACCGCGTCGAACAAGGCTGGAGCCTCGAGCCACACGGCCGTACTGGCCGTGAACGGTAATAGTACCACTAGCGCCACGCGTATGCGTGGAGGACCTACTAGACTCTAGGCGCACCACCGCCACCTCTTCTCAGACTCTCTTCTCTCTTTTCTCGTTCTTTTCACTTCGCATTCGCGAATCCTCGTCCTTTGTACATGCATCATATCCTCGCGTGGATGGGAGAGGGGGAGAAGGAGAGGGCACTCGTGAAACGCGGATGG